TCAAGATTTTTTTTTTTTTTTTTTTTTTTTTTTTTTTTTTTTTAGTTTTAGTTTTGTTTTTTATTTATTTATTTAATTTTTAATCTTTTTAATTTTTCTTATATTTGTTTAAAATATTACAGATGTCCCCTTTTCTTCCCAATGACCCATTCCACCCCATCCCACCCCCTTCCCCAGTCCCTCTCCACATCATTGTCCCTGTCCTTGGGCTGTGTATATATGCATATAAATTCTTTGGTTAATCTCTCCCCCTTCACCCACCCACCCTTCTCCATCCCTCTGAGATTCATCAGTCTGATCTATGCTTCCATGTCACTGAATCTATTCTGTTCATCAGTTTATTAATTAAACTTTGGTTATGTTTCTTCATTAATAAACCATTTATTCTAGAGGGCAAAGGCAGGATAAATAGTGATAGAAGGAGATTTGACTTGGGATGGTGAACAAACAATATAACATACAGATAATGTATTATAGAATTATATAGCTGAAACCTATATAATTTTATTAACCAATGTCACCCCAATAAATTCAATGAAAAATTAAAATTAAAAAAAATAGGCCTCAAAATTTAGAGCTAATTAAATTATTATTATTCACTGGGGACCATACTGCAAAGGATTTAGCCTGGCATGGGATTATACAAAGAATGACTTCCTAAGCCCTGCTCCACGCTAATGAAACCATAATACAAAGCTCCCTGTCTGAGCCCAACAGTAACTGGTCAGAATGTGGCTGTTGCTCTCTCTCTCCTGGTCCCAAGATGAATTCTGACCCAGCCCCCAACATCACCTACAATACAGAGGGTTTTCCAAGCCACCCAGGAAGTTACAATGACACTTTCCCTGACTCCAAAGGTTTATGCTCGAATGTAGGTCTCTGTGGACCAATAAAACATGAAGAAAAGAGATGGAGTAATTACAAGTTTTGCTTACGTGCCCTCTACTGTGTCTGTATATCCACATGTTTCATGAGAGTCTGCTCTATGGTGAGCAGCATGGTAGACACAAAGCTACAGCAATAGGAAGAGGAGCTCACAGTGCAGAAGAGGAAGGCACTCAGGGAGCACCAGTCCTGAGTAGATGAGGCAATGTCTCCTGTACACACTCATCTTAGAAACGTGGATGTTGTCAGTGTACAGTGTAGGCTGGACAGATGGAAACTGAGGAGCTGGCTCTCCAAACCCAAACTATCAATTAAACCAAACACTTACTTCCGAGGCAGTGTTCCAGAAGAGTCTTACCTTGAGCAGACAGTCCTGGGGTTAATGAGTTGTCTACATGATGCACATGAAAGAGGGGTTGTGTTCAGGTGCAAATTTGCCTACATGTGACAACAAAAACAATAGAGGAGTAAGTTAGACAGAAGTTTGTTTTTCTTTTATATAAAAGTCCAAGATGGTAAGAAATTTCTAGTTTTGAAAATTCATCTGTGACTCGGGCTCCTACTAGCTTATTGCTCAGTCATTCCTGGGATGTTTGGTTCCCTTGACACAAAAAAAAAAAAGAAAAAGGTTCATTAGTAGATCCATACTCTAAGCAACAGAATGGAAGATGTGAAAGACTGGAAGAATTAGCCCTGTGGATTTATATGGCCATCAGGACCAGACGTTGGGAGAAACCCGTTATTCAGTTCCATTATCATAGGTCCAATCCATTCCAGCACGCAGACAGTTCAGTGGGTTCCAAAACAACCCAATGGGAAATTCTTCAGTTATATGGGATTGCAAAATGATCTCTTATCTGAGACCTTTGGAACATATTTCTTCCTTCTAGAGCTCTGCCTGGTGCTTCAAGGTCACCAACAATTAAATCACTATAGAACCAGCTGGTAGGGAACACCAAAAAACTGAGTTGTTGTTCCCACGTAACAGTACTGAGTACTCTTCTCTTAGTCTTTCCCTGGCTCTGGAGTCATGCTACTCTTTTATTTAAGGGATTGAAACTACATAAACTATTTGTTGAAATACGTATGTGCTCTAAGCAGGTCATTCATGTTATACCCCCTTTCTCAGCAGGTCATTCAACTTTGTAATCACTTTCAGGAAGGATAACATTATAATCTTTATACTCTTGGTGGTTTACACATATGGAAAATTCTTATCACATGCTGCTATGTGTGTTGGGGAGGTTGGTTTAGAGGTGAGAGTTGGAGTCACGGTGTGGTTATTAGTGGCTACTGTCTTTGTTTCTAGTTCTGCTTAACCACTGAGAAAAATGCTGACAATTTAAGAGCTTCAACTGAACTGCAAGTTGCAAAAAAGATGTGTGTGTTTACTTGAGTTATTTTTAACTTTGAGCTCCACCTACACACACCTGCTGAAAGTGTAGAGGAGATGGAGGACATGTGGTGACAGTCCTTGGGCTGAGGGACCTCAAAGGAACTAAGAGAAGCTTAAGGGCTGTGAGATCCCCGTAAGGGAATTGTGAAGTCTGTGAAAATGCTTCATCCAGGTGTCTTTCTTCTATTTTGAACATGCTAGCAATCAGAAGAAAAACAAAAGTCTAATTTGCATTTTCAGTAGAAAATAAAAATACAGACTTTCAAAACAGACTATCCCCACTTGAAAAGATGAGCCAGCCATACATATTAATAGTGAAGAGATTGGAGCCTAAAGAGGTTAACAGTTTTATTCCCAGTGGGTAACCAGTCATTGGAAGGGGTAAGAGTAGGTCTAATTCCCAGTCCAATGTTCTTGTCACCACCCTAAAAACACTTCTCCATATTACTCTATGATCAAAGGTACTTGTCCATGGTGGTCTCGGTAAATATGTGAGACTTCATTTCATAAGACTGATGCTTAGTTTCCAAATCACCCGTGACTGGAAACTTCGAGTCATCTTTGACTTTCCTCTCTCTTGCATTCCTCTGACCACTGAGGAGGGCTTAGACAAGCTTTCATATTTGCCTCTTTTTTTCCTACCTCCACAGTTGCTGTTTCACTTCAGTCCTTCAGCATTTGGGACCTGGATTCCTACGACATCACCTAAACACATTTCCTTTCTTTCAGCCTCTCACTCTTCCAATTCTACATACTACCAATAGATTTATCTTTCTCCCAAGCAATTGGGTCACTTTCTTTCTGAAACACCTGTTCTGGATTCTCACTGTTTATAGGATCTCATCAAAAATCCTCAGCACAGCCTCCCAGGGTCTGAACCGAAGATGCTTCTCTGACTCCTCTCCCACGACTTCTCTTTACCAACTCTGTACTCCTGGCACTGGGGCCTGCCAGACTTTCCCAGAAAAGAAAAACAACAGGCCTCCTTTTATGTCCCAGGTATTGATCCATGCTGATTCCTCTTTCCGGGATACTATGCTTTCCCTTTCAGAGTATCAATATAGTTAATTGAGTCTGAATAAACAAAACAACAGTCGAATTCAGTACCTGTTCATTCCACTTTGTTTATAATCTGTAATTTACTTCTCCAGTTCCCCTAGGTTATTAGTTCCTTGGGAACAGTGACCATAACCCGTGTCCCTGTCATTGTGTACTCAGCTGGAGGAAAAGAATCAGGATCACCAACACAATGAGGATCTGGTCCATGTCCCCTGCCACCACTGGTTCTTTCCCAAAAGCCAAATGTATACCCAAATTAAAGAGAAGGCCCTTGGCCAACTGTGCACAATGCCAAGAGAGGCCATATTTGGCCAATGACAGGGGCCTCATGGCCTGGCTGAAGGGTTTCAAGAAGAGAAATTCTCCAAAACTTAGGTGCTAATTTTCCAAGAGGGTCTCCTGAGGCTACTTCTGGGTCCTTGAAAAGCAAGTGTTCTGATAGAGGAATAATTCTTTTAAATCAAGGACTTATGGAGAAGGGTTCTCGTGGAGTTAACATGTAATGCCACCTCAACTGTAATTCCAGATGTGTAGAAACAGCACACTGATTCTCAAGTCTGGACAATGTGCTTTCTGAGACTCCTAAGCAAATGAGACTTCCAGAGATAATGCAAAAAGAAGGCTGGTGGGATACCAGATGATGACCCAGAAAGTTAGTGAGCTAAAGGGAATTACTCTGGGCCACATGGACTTTCAAGATCTAAAAGGAGAATTAAGCCTGGGTAAGGCAGTTCACACAATAAATTACAGCACGTTTAAAGTCACAAATTCTTAACCTAAGTCACAGACATCTATGGCTCAGTCCTTGCCCCAAGTCTCTCCCCATACAGTAACTAGTTGGCTCCATATAAAGATCAGAAGATGCGCCATAAAAGAACAGGGACCAGATTCATATATAAGACAAGAAAAGGCAAGGGAAGAAAACACACATGATAAAAAGCACACATAGAGAAAGAGAGGAGCTCATGCAAATGATGCTTCAGAGTCTCAAGGATTACATAAGACGTTCTCTTTAAAAAGGACCTTAGAAAGAAAAGCAAAGGTTCAAAAAGCTTCAAAAGAGATAGTAAGATAATAGGAGCATTAAAGTAAGCTGGCAAAGCACAGATAGAAATGGAAAAGAAAATGAAAACATTATAGAGATTAAAGTCATATTAGAAGCAGAAAACTATTGAATACATATAACTAAAAAACATGCCAGGTCCCTGGCTGACAAAGCTCAGGTAATCACTCTAACAGTAAGAAAAAGAACGGATATTTCAAGGACTATTAAGGGGACGATAAAATAAAACAACAAAGATAGATCAACATATACATAATTGATACTCTGAGAAAGATAAAAGGAACCATATACATTTACCTTACACATATTTAATATATGTATACTTCATAAAGAGTTTACTTTACTATTGTTAATAGTAGTAGAATAATAATACAATTGTGTATAACAACAGTAATAGGAGTAAGCTCGCCTGAAATAAAGAAATACTGCATCCTGAGGAATGATGGGGGGAATTGATTGCAAGATATTCATTAGCAAGTTCTATCCTGATGGAGTTACGGAGCATCAGGGATGAAGATGAAGTGAGTCAGAGACTTGAGCTTCCACCTCTGATAGTAGCAGACAGTAATTCAGGCCAATCCACTCCCTGGGCACAGAAGTATTTAAAGCAAACAGAAAGTAAGAGGTAAGAAAACCTAAACAAAAACCAAGAAAAACAAGAAGTAACTGAAGCAGCACACAGGGCTTTAAGATAATAGAGTTCCCAAACACAAACTTTTTATAAAAGAAAGATAAACAATCTGAGAGAAATATCTGCAACACATGTGACAAGCAATAGACCATATAATAAAGCAGTAGAAACACTAACTGTAAAAAGACAAACACCGGGGAATATGACATGAAAAGTCAATTCACTAAGAAAAAACACAAAAATTAATAAGCTAAAAAATGCTACTTAATTATCAAAGCACAAAAAGACAAAGGCAGAATTAAGATATGAATATTTGCTTATCAATTTCGCAAAAACTAGAGCATTAACAATCAACATTTGGTGGAGGTGAGCAATGGCCTCCTTGGACATTAGTGCCTCATGACTTCTAGTACACTGTTCTTACACTTTCCAGGTGTATAGTTTCGAGGAGACAAAATGTATTGTGCATTTTTAAATATAGTGAGTTCCAAGCAAAATCAAGATTTTCAAGAAGTATTATTGAGGCAATAATGATCTTTTCATGTTCTTGTTCTCTTCCAGACTATCCAATTTTTGTCTTTTATTTCATGTTCTTTAAATGAAATTGTGCTACTTTACAGTAATTTCCAACATAATTTCATTACTTTGAATCACCAGAAGCAACCAGAATATTTATGCATTGTTAGTAGGAATGTAAAATGGTAAATCACTTAGGAGAACTATTTTGGAGCTTCTAATAAACTTGAAATATACACTACAACCCACAAATTCCACTCCTAGCTGTGTACCCAAGAGAAGTGAATGTACGTGTCCATAAAAATATGTGTATGAATATTCATAGCTTTGTTTATAATAGACAAAATCAGAACACAACCCAAAGGTCCATCAATGGAAAAGCAACTATAATGTGATTTGTTCACACAATGGAACACTACTCAAAAAGCCAAAGGAGTGAACTACTGATACACACAACACAGATGAATCTCACTGACATTATGTGAGCATAAGGAGCAAAGGAAGTACACACTATATGCTCTCGTGTATATGAAGGTCTAGAATGGGCACAGTATACCTGTGATGGTGATAAATGTCAGAATAGTGGTTATATTTGGGGAGGGGTCTATTGACTGGAAAGGGACATGAGAACATCCTCAGGGGTAAGAGAAATGCTCTATATGTTGATCTGGGGTTTGGTTACACAGGTGTATGCAAAAGTTAAAATTCTCCTAACTGTCCCCTTATGATTTCTGCATTTTAC